CATTCTTTGTAAAAAATTTGTCCTGACGACGGGGTGAACAGGATATCTGAGAGAACGACAAATCGTGGTAATCACTGTTTTTTTAAGGAAATAATGCATTTTAATAAAAAATAATGGTAGATCAAGTCTTAGACATGGCAGTCTAAGACAGTCTCTCTGGTCATGAAATCCCTACTATTTACTTTAAAAAATACATTAATGTTTCATTCCGGTTTAAAGTTTCAAACTTTCTATCTTACAGTCTACAAAATCGTGTTTCAAATAATAAAAATGAAGATACAATTAGAACATAAAAGCAAGACAAGGATACGAAATTGCACGCTAACGATTAACCCTTCTCTCGAATATGATGCATGTTTGGTTTGTACCCATCCAAGCGTGCGCCTGCGCACTGCCAGCAATGCAACACGTCAGTCAATGTTGCTTTGCGGGTTGCATATCCTAAGCCCTTCTGTTTCGCTCGCCAGACGTTAACATCGTGCGTTAAAGTCTCCGTACGTGCATATCGCACTGTTTTAAAACTTCTCGGTTAAACAGCTATCCCTAAAAATGCTTTCAGCACTTCGCTGCACGTTACATATTTTCCTTTTCGGTGCAATGTAAAGCATTCGAAAGCTGAATAACGCGTTCTGAAAGAGGGGTGGGCATAAGCACCTTAGTACGAATCTGTGCCTAATGGATATTGTCGCACTATCTTGAAGAACTATAAAAGATTCGTACAAGGTATTTTGTCGATTTAATCTAGTCCGGGATATTTGACCTCTGTTTAAAATATTCCTCGTCAGATCTGGATAAACCGAAATTTAATACAGGCTAATCGAATTGAAAATGACATAAGATATGAAGGGACAAAAAGCAAAAGAGACAAAAGGACCAATAGTCAGTACTCCCGAAACATCTTTTAAAGACTTGCAAAAATATGTTTAATGTTAATTTTTTCCTCACTTACATTACATTAGTTATAAAACTATGTTGTCTAAAATTTTAAAGGGACTTCTTCTTTAGAGAAAAGGCAAAAACAATAGGTCAGTATTCCATTGTACAGACTGTGTGAAAAAGAAAGAAAGAAGAGGAAGAAGTCGGCTCACCTGCGGGCAGCGCTTGAGACGCAGGCTGGAGGCGCCGCGCTGCAGGGCGTCCTCGTGGTGGGCGTGTCCGTGTCCGTGGGCGTGTGTCTGGGCGTGGGCGTGGTGGGCGGGCGGGGGCGGGTCGAAGGCGCGCAGGGCGAAGTCGGCGCCGCCGCCGGGCAGCTCGTCCGTGTCGATGATCTCGAAGGCGAACGCGTCTTCGGGGTTCACCATGCGTCGGGGCTTGGGCGGCAGGTTGGGCCGCAGCGGCGGCGCCACCGCCGCCAGCGCCGGGTGCTGCTGCTGCTGGTGATGGTGGTGGTGGTGATGGTGATGCGAATGCCCGTGGTGGTGGTGATGGTGCGCACGATGGTGGTCGCGCGATATCGTCGCCGGTTTGTGCTGGCGGGGAACCTGGGACGCAGGGAACGCACAAAGCGGTCGTTAGTTTTTGGGGGGCAGAATCAGAAACACAACAAATCGGGTAATACTGTGTTGGAATATTAGAAATACATTACATAGAACAGAAACGAAAAATATTAGGAGTATACATCTACATCAGGGATTCCCAAACGTTTTCTATCATCGCCCTCCTTTTAAACTTTTCCCTCCCTTCATTGATCCACAATGCTTTCTCTATAAAACATAGCATTCGTAATAATGACAAAGAATTGTACTTAAATGTCTTCAAGAGAGAAAGAAGATTGAGAAGAGTCCGCTTTTCAGTTGCTGAGTTTCTAATTTTAATTGAGTGTTTTTTTTAAGATCTGGCATTTACATTTCTTCAGCGCGTATTGCGGAGCACTTTCTTGAGCGATGGAGTATCTTTGTAAATTCATAGTTATAATTTCTCCAGTAATTTATTATTTGTTATACGTTTTGTTTTTTACACTAAAAGCTAGTACATTAAAATCATTTATATTTTTTGTAAGCAATGGGATCTTTATGATCTTGATCAGGTACCGCTTCATATTAGGAATAGAGATCCCTAATCATTATTGTCGCATTTCAAAATTTCAATGGTCCTCCCCCCTCAGCGTCTATACCGACCCCGTTGAGACCCCCTGATCTAAATTATTGGCTACGTTCCTTTAAGACATATATTTTAAATATTAATACCACGAATTTTGTAAGATTAAATAATAATACAATATCAAATAAGGTTTTTGAACATACAAAACTTGACCAGTCTGAACAAACTTGGCTCGTCTGAACAAACTTGGCTCGTCTGAACAAACTCGACCAGTCTGAACAAACTCGACCAGTCTGGACAAACTCGACCAGTCTGGACAAACTCGACCAGTCTGGACAA